CTTTCATCAATCCGGTTCTTTCTCCATTGTAAAAACTTGTACGCTTCATTTCATTTCGACACAATTAGGCAATGAAAACACTAAGCCACGATCGTAATCACGTGTGACTCGCATTCTCTGTTCGATTATATCGGTGTTGTTTTTTTCGATCTCTTATGTACGAATATTTTCATTACTCGAATGATCAAGAAAGAAAAGATTTTTCAAAAAGTTGAATTAAAGATGGGAAACAGGATCTATAAATTCGAAATTTTGATCCTTTTTGAAATTGACATTGTATCTTTTCACGAATGGCATTCATATATTTTTTCGTGTAAAATCGTGTTAATCGTTCTTTGCAATTCTCGAATTCTTCTAAAATGATGTGTTTTTGTATTTAATATCCAGCAGAATTAATTACGTAAATGTTAATCGTAATAAGTTCCGGATATTTATTATAATTCTACGAACCTTAAACGAAGAAAGAAATATTGAAGAAAATTCATCAATCGCGATATTAAAGAACGCAATGTAAATCTAATGAAAAAAAAAAAAAAAAAATCAAACGATCCAATTCTTCACAATTGATGGATCAATTTTTAACTTTATATAAAAAAAACTAAACGAAACGAACGAAACATTCTCACATAAAAATTCGTCCTCGATCTGTCTTCTTAAGGAATCGAAAAATAATCATCTCTCGTTAATCAAAATGAAATTAAATATAAATTCTGTCCGTTTAGAAAATTCGACTTTCATTGAACGATCGATGGATTTTCGCTGCATATATGCAAGTCGATGAAAAATCCCAAGCGCAACGACGAGGAATTTTATTTTTTTTACGCAATCCGTGGCTGAGATCTGGATTACACGTGAGAAATCTGGTAACACAACAGAGCCCTGCTTGACGTAAGAAATAGGGAGCGCGTGCTGGGGCTTTGCGTCAGAATGATGCATTGCGCGCGCTAATACGAACTAGAAACGATTAGAGAGGAACGCCGGTTGTTCATTCATTAGCCCAAGGATTTGTCGGTTAGGGGAAAAAATTATTAAGACGTGGAACGAAACACCAAATTGCGTGATCCAAGATTAATGGAATAAATCCGAGATTTCGTGTAAATATATAACGTATATATATTTTTCCATCGTGTCTTAACGATGAATTTGTTTTTTAATTTATGACAATCACGATGATGGCATCGGTTCCTTTCAATATGAGATTTTCTTTTTTTTTTTTTTTTTAGTATTTAAATAATAATAATAATACTTCTCGTCGCGATTTCAAAGAATTTTTACACACGATGATGCTTGAATTTTTTTTTTTTTTTTTTTTTCTAATATTTTTCACATAAATCGAATGTTTTAAAATCGTTTATGAAACCCGTGCTGGGACGAGTATAAGAGTATAAGGTCATGTTCCCTCGAACGTTGGAATATTCATCGAATCGATCGAATAACACGGGGAAAACAACACTGTTTCAATATTGATAAAAATATTGCGTAGAGAATGATGCCTACTTTCGGTCCAAAAAAAGAGAGAGATAGAGAAGAAGAAGAAAGAAGAAGAAAAATGGTAATAAAGACTGTAATAATCGCCGTATAATCGGATGAAAACCGAGCCTATTTCAAAAGCCTATTAGCCTAGCTAATATTATAATGAGTTTTCACACACGTCGAAAAAATAGGTGTAAAGCAAATTATTGCTCGATCGACGATTCGAATGAAATATCTTTCATCTCGTTCGATGATTTTCGTTGAAATATAGGATGATATGAAATATAATTTTGGTATAAAATTTGTGTAAACGTTTTCGACGGATTTTAATCGACGAGTTTTTATTCATAAAATACAGCCAAAGATCTTTTTTTTTTTTTTTTAGTATAATTTTATCTTAACTGAAATTTGTATAAAACAGAGAATTTTTTTTTTTTTTTTTTTTTTAGAGAAAGTGGAATTACGCCTGTTGTTCGAATTTTAATTGGTACGCGTGATAAAGATTGGAAAATTTATATTTAGTTATTAATTGAAACGTAGCACTTTGATTTCTTTGAGATATAATAGTATTGAAAATTTGAATAATTCATTATCATGCAAATGAATATTAAAACAAAAAGAAAAAAATTGTTCCACGGAACCATATTTCCAAGAAAATATTTCGACGAAGGAAAAATTTTAATTATATATACTTTCCATCCACTCTATTACGAATAAATGATTGTTACGGTGAAATAATTAATTGAAAAATTTGCAAACTGTTCTCTAATATAAAAAATTTATCGATGAGAATTTTATATAAATAAGAACAGAAAATAATTATAATTATCTTTCTTATTAAAAAATATTGAATGTTTCAATTTTTCAATATAATTATAATTTACATTTTTCCGTGATTTTTTCTTTTTTTTCCTTTTTTTTTTTTTTCGTTCGAACGATGCAAAAATATACGCATACAGATATAAATATTGATGGAATCATTTTCGACGTGACGTGACTCTTATTGTAAAATTAAAAAAAAAAAAAAAGAAGAAGAAGAAGAAACGAAGAATGAAATAATCGACGAATCATTGGTGTTAATATTTCGATTAAATTTTTCAATATATAACAATGTATAGTAATTAATATGGAATGATATGATCGAAAATAAAACTTAATTATTCGGATATTGCGAAGGGTGTACAGATACCGCGTTTCCAAGGAGGAAAATTTCAATTTAAAAAAAAAAAAAAATTAGCAACGTGAACGCAGTAATGAAACTTTATCAACACTAAATCGATTTTTATTAACTTTGATATTAAAACGATTTTGCTATTGAATAATGAATTATACATTAAAATATATATATATTAATACTGCTTCCAAAATTTATACCATATTTATTATTTGTATACCGAGAAAGAAATACGAAATACAAATTTCGCACGAGTGAAATTAAACCATAATTAAAATAAGAAAGAATTCTAATCCAACGAAAGGATTAATAAGACTGTCAGCGACACAAGTGTACGATCGAACATATAATGTGTTTCGTTCTTGTATGACAGTGTCTTTGTCCTATGTCAAATATCGAGAGAGATGCAAAAATCGAGATCGAGCAAAGCAAAGCTCGTAGATAGAAAGCTGTGGAATTGGAATGGCTTGGATTCGTCCATGTCTACGACCTTGAGAACGATATAATTGGAATCCAAAGAACGGTGAAAGTAGCCCCAATCTCGTGTTAAACTGGAGGATAGTGGCTTTTCAACGGGTGAACGAGCGATCTTTAGTTTGCGATTTCACTTATCGCTCGCAATTTAGACGAATCTATTCGTTAATTGATCTTAGCCCTCGTTTTTCTCGATATAAAAACTCGAATTATTGTTTCGCTCGAACGTGTTATTTTGAATTATTTTTTTTTTGAAACGAGTTCGCGAATTCGATGCTATCTCTTTCAATCCCATACAGATTCGAGATTACGCCAATTATTCTCCCTTAGAATTTTTTAATCGTGACGTTTCACATAGTCAAATAAGGAATCGGGATAAACGATAAGACGATCGTCGGTGCAGAACAGTGTTAAATATCACGATTTTATTATGATTGTTGTGAATCGTCTTTGCAACAACATAATCTTGCGGTTAAAGAGAAGTTGCACCGCGTGATTGGAGTATAATTTGTGTGAAACGATAATGATAACCACTTCTGTATCTGTATCCACTTATTTCCCCAAGAAGATTAAATTATCGATTCAAGTGTGATTAGACCACAATTTCCTAAAAATTTCATGCTTTCGATTTTATAATTGGCCTTTTTCTCCCTTCTGTTCCCTAATTTTCTCACTCAACCGTTTACTTGAAACGCAATGAACCCAATTACCCCTCCTGAATGAATTCATCCATTGGATTTTTACATTAGAATTAGAGGAAATTAGGAGAAATTACAAGAGAAATAGGACGCATAGGGTTTCTTGAATTTTCGATATGGATGAAAATGATCGATTTTCTCAAAATCTCTTTTCAAAGAGATGATTGAAACTTCGCATCGAAACGTACGGCCTTTTTTTTTAACAAGTTCACGTAAACCGGAAAGAAATACTGGTCGCAGAAGAATAAACGTGCCACGTAAGCAAAAGTGTGATGATTTCTTTCAAGAGAGCTGAATGCTTGAAACCAGGTTCATTGGCACCAATTTTTTATCCGACTTTCGTCGTTGAATCGCTATAATAAAATGGACGGCGGCGTTGGAAGAAGTAACATTTCAATGTTACGTTGCGGTATTACCAATGATTTCTCATCACCGCGATAAAAGGAGGGCAAAAATGAATCCACTATGGTATTACAACTTTTATACATTAATTTTTTTCTTTTTCTAATTCAATCAAGATTTATATTAATCCTGGAAAAAGAGACGTCTTGACGACTCGTGAGAATTGGAAAAAAAGAAAATTTATGTATACTTTGTTACAAATCTCACTCGATTATATCGTAATATATAAAATTACAATTCACACGAGAGACAAGAAAAAAGAAAGAGAAAATTCCAGGAAGAGTGTGGCGAAAACTAGACATTTTCGCGATCCCATTTAGATTTCTTTCTTCGCTGGAATTGCAGGGAGGGATGCGATACCAATAACATTTATCGAGAAATCGTATCGAGACGTCCCCATCGGCGCACCAGGAAGCCGGAAAACATCGATATTTCCTATTCATCGTTCGACGGAATATAAGGAAGAGCAAATTTCATCTTGTGTATATCTTCGAAATTATCATCGATTGATCCCCTTTTCGTTAATCTTACGTGTATATATATGTAATATGATTTCTCGTATACTTTTGATCATTGTCCAAATCGACGAACAATATTGTCAGCTTTCTTATTAATTTCGAAGTCACGTGTATCGATTGAGAGAATATAGGACAAACAGATATTCGAGGACGTATACCGATTTCGAGAAACCGGTTTCCAATTTCTGCGCATATTCGAAACTTGGAATTTAGTAGTCCTCTTTAAGAAGGAATTTCAAGGTTTTTGTTGATTAAAAATTTCGAGTTTTTTTCTCTCTTTCTAAATTTTGAACAAATTCAAATTCTAGAATCTTGATCGATAAGAGAAATCGGTGTGTATAAACGGTTGATATTGTTTCTGCATATAGTTCGTTATAACAAAGATTACAAGCGGAATGTGCGTTATAACAAATTTATTCTGTTCAGAGGCAAAGAGACTAAGGAAAGATCGTGCAGTGTGCGAGGTAATCTCATTGGCCGTACATTAACACGGGATAACGATTAAAGCGTCTCGTAAATAAATAGTGATGTTGCTTCGAGGATTTTCGAATAAATGATGAATCCCCCTTTCAAAATGATTTTATTCCAATTAGAAATTCGTTTAATTTTTAATCGAATTAATGATCAAACGTTTGGAACAGTTAGGAAAAGAATTTCCCTGTGAACAGTGGTATTTAAAAGTGGTTATTTTGTCGTGTTATCTTGAATTTCTTCTTCTTGTATCAAATTTCAGAGAAAATTAAATCTCATATTCATCCAAATGATCCGTAACTTTCCAAGCTTTTTGAAGTGGCTTCCTTTTGTTTATGATTTAACGGAAGAACAAGTTTAATTTTCTCTTTCTCTTTATGCCTTGTGATCGATTATACTTCGAAACATACTGAAACAGTGTCATTGCCATTCAACCTCTTTCGAAGAAAATGTATTAGAAAATATATATAAAAAATGTAAGGATTCTGGATTTCTGAATTGGAATTATCATCCCTGTTAAAAGTGTTAAAATGGATAATCAATAGCTTCTTAAAGTAATTAATTTTCAATTCCTTGGAAAGACGAAGAGAAGTACACTGTGAAAATTGAATTTTATCGAAACGTAATTTATTTTTCAATAATTATATCGTCGCAAAATATATATGGTATTCTTCGTGGTCTTGAAAAGTGAAATTATATGAACACTGTACTTTTCAAAGTACCATACCTTTGATAAAGAAGATTATTTTGGTATCAATGGCGTAATTTTTCTTCATCGACGAGCAAGTATTTTACACGCCCGAATTATTATTATATCACGGATCGATCCGGATTTTATCGGTATTCGCAAAGTGGAGGCAAGGCTGAATTCTTAGATTCGATCGGCCGTTTCTTCCTTCCTTCGAGAAAGTGAAAGGATGTCGAGGTTCTGTGTCTCCTCGTGAAAGCAACGTGCTAAAAAAAGACGAGTGAAGGTGGAGTACAATTCTTAAGTCTCAATGGAAAATACTTTGTTCTTTCTCCCTCTCTTTCTCTTTTCGTAAAAGTAATTTTTCGTTAAACGTTTTACGAGTTTTTTCTTTTTTTTTTTTTTTTTTTTTTTATGGAGCTCGTTTCTGCTCAATTATGAGAAGAATAATGGGAAATTTGACCACGTTTTTTTAAGAAAATTGTGTTTGAAACGTATCTCCGCTTCTACATTGTACGTGGAATAAAACGGTTGGCGAAATATAAAGTTAATTAAATTCGTGTCTGTGTCTGTATCGACGTCAAATGAACGGTAGGGAATTAATTAAAATGAAAATGGTGAAATTTGTTCTAAAAATTGACGGTAAAAGGAAGAAATTAGCCCGCCGTTTCCGATTATACATCACCACGTTGCTGCTCCTTCTTTTGTGCTCGAGGAACTGAACCGATATAATTTTAATTGGATAGTAAGCGATGATAAATATTTCGAATATCTTTGACAAAGATTCTTATTGCATCGATACTTTTCAGATCGAAAATTCTTCCTAACAATGAAACATACAATTGCAATTCTGTCTATATATGCGAATAATGCAAAAATAACAATAGACATTCTAATCATGGAGAAGATTTTTCATAATAATAAGTTGTTACTTTTTAACACCGATCGAATCATCATAGTTGATAAAACTATTCAATTAAACAGCATAAAGGAATAGAAAGAATCTGGAACAGAATGCGGCTAACAAGATCGCAATTCGGATCACAGTTCAGAGGCTTTATGATGTATCTTCGATAAAAAAAGAGAAAAAATATTTCCAAACCTCACTCCTAAATTAATAAATTCCTCCAAAAAAATCGTGACCGAAAGAACGTTCGATCGAACAGTAACGAAAAAAAAAAAAAAAAAAAAAAAAAAAGAAACGGAACGACAAACGAGAAAGAATCAATCTGGAGGATAACACTAACGGGATCACAGCTCAGAGGTTTCACAATTACCTATAAAAACATTTGCAAAAAAGCTCGCGAAGCACTCGTTCCATTCGCGCGAAACCGATTATAATAAAAAGCGTATTACGACAAAAAACGTAAGAATTTCTTGAGAAAAACATCCGTTTGAACCAACAGCGATCATTTACGAGTCAATACAATAACGTACAATTTTTCTCAAAAATCCGACCAATATTCACCGAGAAAAGGAATACTCAATCGAACGAAACAAATCACATGATCAGTGAGAGAAAGGAAAAGAGGACGAATCTCGTCATTTTGCGTCAACTATTTTTCCCAGATATCGATGGTTAACAATCGTCGTGGACGAGGTTAAAGAGATAAAAGCGTTCGATGGAACGGCTGAATTTCTCGGTCGAGAAATTCGGTCTTCTTTCCTCTCTCTCTCCCTCTCGTTTAGCTCTCGTTACTACCCCCCCTCCTTTCCCTCCCCCCTTCCTCCCCCCCGTAACGCTCGTATTATTACACACCGATGCCAGAATAATCTGATTACATCGGCGAGTACGCCGATGATCGATCGCGTATTTCACTCGTTAAGAACGTATCCTCCTCCTCCTCTCTCTTCCAACGATTCCACCCTTCTATTGCCATCTCTGCGAGCGAAATTGGCGGAGGTTCGATATTTCGAGCAGGGAATTTTTCCACGCCGGAATGTTGTTGATAATGTTTCGTACGTTCGTTTAGGAACATCGCGGGGCGACGAGTGGAATTTTTATTCCGGATTAGGAAGAAATATATATTTCCTTGCGTAATATTCGTTTCGACAAACAGGATTGTTTCAGTGTTTGTTGGATTTTATATTTCGTTCTGTTTTTTTTTTTTTTTTCTTCTTTTGGGAATAAGAATAATTTCGATGTTGGGTTTTTTAAAAAAAAGAAGAAGCGAAGAAGCGAGGGTATATTTTAAATTTTGGACTTTTTGTTGTTGTTAGGGAAATTGATTAGCATCTTTTCTGTTCTCTTGTTTATTAGAGATTGGAAAATAGATTTAATTTTTCTAATCGCGTCAGATTCATCTTTATTAATCTTGTATTCCCTTTGTAAAAAAAGAAAAAAAAAAAAAAAGAATGTAGTACTCTGCGAAGATTTATTCAACAGATTAAAGTTCGTATCTTGAACGTATCCATAATTTATATCGTGAATACGAGTTTTATGACAACAGGTTATGATTTATTAAAGTATCGATTTCACATTCTGGAAAAATTGAGTTGGAAAATCAACTTCCTCCGAACGGAATATATTTTTTATCCTGCACACACACACACACATACACGCGGATTATTCTTTCTTTCAAAAGCGGTTTCATCAAATATATCTGACAGATTATTACACGAGGCAAATTCTCCAAAACTTTTCTTCTTCTTCTTCTTCTTCTTCTTCTTCTTCTTCTTCGACTCGAGTTTGGTATCAATTTACAGAGATTATTCCATTCGTTCAAAAAAAGAAAGAAAAGTATACACGCAAAATTATCCCGTAATCCCATAATTTCAATCGACACAGATGCAATAACAGGATGCAATTATCAAGCGAAATTATAAAACAATGGTAATTTAATTCTGTAAACGGGGAACAACCGATGCTCGATGCTTCGATACAATATTTTGCTCTTTTGTTAAAAAAAAGAAAAAAGGTACACTTTCGCTCGTACGTCAATGATACGTACAAATTATCGGAATTAACGTTAATAAGAGGAATAAAACCCGTCCCCCAATTGGTAAACTGCTGAAGGTTCGCATTATACTCTTATACGTACACTCGTACGTATAATATGAAAACCACAGGATGAAACACGCGATGGTAGGGGGTGCAACACGATTTAGCGATTATTATACACGCGGTGTGTGTTACCCACTGTTGCACGCAATTTCAGAGAAAATTGGTGACCCACGCTTCGTTCTTTCTCGCAAGGAATCGATAGAAAAATATCAAAATTTTGAATTGTTATTAAAAATGTGAAATTTTTCTTAAAAAGAAAAGTATTCATATGATTCATATTCGGATAGAAAATGAATTTTAATTTTTTTTCTTTTTTTTCCTTTTTCGATAAAATGTATATAAAATTATAATATTCAAATATTTTAATAATATCGTTGCCTAATAACGAGAATAATCCAAATGCCAATAATTCTCGTATCTTCGACGATCGATAAAATATGAAAAATATATGATCTTATCCTCATTCTAATCCTAAACGTTAAATCGCTACAAATCGAGCTAAAAAAAAAAAAAAGAGAAGAAAATCAACAAAATTTCATCGTGTTTCGAATCTCCATAAAACAAAATTCTCAATTTTAAAACGCGAAAAACGTAATCTAAAAGCAAGAGGAGAAACGAAAGGAATGAAGAAAAGTCTGGAACACAGTGGTGACAGAATCATAGATTTTGAAATCGTGGAAATTTGAAGCGCGACCGATTATGATATGATCCGCGCCGATCCGCTTTCAGCTCGATTCATGTAAATTTCAGCAAGATTTCCGCCCGAATATTTCGCGTGCTGCGAGAAAATCCGCTCGCCGGATAATTCGTTGATGGCTAATGGCCGCCCAACCGAGCCGGTTCTATTCGTACGAATTAAATTCTACGAATTTATTGGCGCGGCTCGCGCGAGAAACTGACCGTGTCGTGTCACTTCTGAAGTCGAAATTATCCGTCGAAACAGGCGATCGAGGATATTCATCCTCGATGAACGAGATGATAGATTCGAATTAACGATAAATAACTCGTGGAAAGAAATGGAATGATCACTTTTTATTTCAAATGTAATAATTTCGATGATCAACAGACGCGAAGACATTTGTGACGAATGTGAAACAAATGAAATTAGA